TTAATAATATGTTTTTATGATGATTAGATGTATGGTTTTAAAGTTACAGTGTATGTATAAAAACTGTATTTTTCCTGCTTGTGATAATTATGTTAAAGGACCACTCTAGGCACCCAGACCACTTCAGCTTAATGAAGTGGTCTGGGTGCCAGGTCCTTCTAGGGTTAACCCATTTTTTCATAATTATAGCAGTTTCAGAGAAACTGCTATAATTATGAATGGGCTAAGCCTTCCCCCTAATCCTCTAGTGGCTGTCTCATTGACAGCCACTAGAGGCGCTTGCGTGCTTCTCACTGTGATTTTCACAGTGAGAGCACGCTAGCGTCCATAGGAAAGCATTGTAAATGCTTTCCTATGCGACGGGCTGAATGCGCGCGCAGCTCTTGCCGCGCGTGCGCATTCAGCCCAGGAGGAGGAATGGAGGAGGAGAGAAGGAGGAGAGCTCTCCGCCCAGCGCTGGAAAAAGGTAAGTTTTTACCCCTTTCCCCTTCCAGAGCCGGGCGGGAGGGGGTCCCTGAGGGTGGGGGCACCCTCAGGGAACTATAGTGCCAGGAAAACGAGTATGTTTTCCTGGCACTATAGTGGTCCTTTAAGCATTGTGTGCCATAATTAGATCACAGGCAGAGGGGAGGATTTTTGTGGGTAGTTTTTTTTTTTCCATTCTTTATTTTTCTTGTGTAAAGGAGAAAACAATCTGCTTGTAGCACCCCGACTGATAGGAATAAACAGTGTCATGGCACGAGATGTCACACACATTTTTTAAACCAAAAAAATAAACAGGCTGATTTTTAATTCACTTATATATTATAGAGAAAGCTCGATAGGTATGTTGGGCAGTTCAAGTGAACTGAAGCATGTTGGCATATTAGCTACATGATTAATTAATTAATTAATTATTTCTTCTGGATGGGTTTACACTTTTAGTTAGGTAAGTACTGAATGCCACCTAGGGTACAAGTTTTTGTGCGGGGAATGTGTCATCATCCTTGTGGTGCGGGTTTAAGGAGGGTTTTTATGTCTCCAATAGGAACTGTAATAGTTAAAATACACCTTTTGTTTGTTCCCTGGAGTCTCCCCATAGGTGTGTGTCTACTTGTGGTGTAGGCCACTGTAGGTATACAGGCCTACGTGGGCATTCCTGTGCTGAGTCAGGCTGGGTATTTTAAGCTCGAGTATCTGGCCCAAAGTGCCGGGAGTCAAACATGAGAAGCTGGATATGACTCGATTGCTAGGCTATTGTTGGCATGGGCTCAAGGTGATGTTAGTTATAGGTGGTGTGGACACCTTGTTGGGATCGGGTAGGGGATCGTGACCCTTACATGAGGTCTATCACCTGTGCTCATGGCTGCTTGGGTTACCCCCGCTTTGTGAGGGGGTTGGGGGGGGGGTCGGGCGGGTGTGGCTCCGCTTGTGGTATGCCCAAAGAGGGCTGAGGCTGTGCTCTTTTGAGCGGATAAAGTAAGTTGCCCCCATTTGGGCTATTCCCTTAGAGAGGTTGCAATCTACGATGCGGCAAGAGAAAAACATAACTGAAATAGAGAAATAAAATATACGTGCTGAACATTGTTAAACTTGTACATATTATAACAGTAAGGATATTAACTGCCTTTTCTGGTTTGTCTGGAGTTAGGTATCCGGGCGAGCCTCAGTTTGGCCTCGCGGGACGAAGGGTACCACATGGCTTGGGTCCCAGGTTGGGGTCGTGCGTGTAGTCTCTGGGGGCAGTGTAGGTAGTCCCAAAGCTTGCAAGAAGGCGGGAGCCTTAGTGATGTTTGAGAGCCGGTGGACTGTTCCTTGGTGCTTCACTATGAGGGACCTTGGAGAGCCCCAGTTGTAAGCCACTCCAGAGTCTTTCAGCTGGTTTGTCACTGCCTTGAGGGATCTGCGCCATTGGAGTGTGGACCTAGTGAGGTCGTGATAGAATGTGAGTTGAGAGTTCTCAAATGAGTATGGGGTCTTGTCTCGGATTGCTCTTGTGACATGTCCCTTATCTTGAAAGGAGGAGCAGCGCACCACTACATCCCTTGTCATGTTCGGGGGTGCATTAGGGGACTTTGGGAGGCGATATGTCCCGTCAAGGGCTATCTTCCTTGCCTGTGGCTGGGGTAGTATAGCCGCAAGCAGCAGTCTTAGGTAGTGTGGTAGTTCTTCTAAGGGGATATCATCAGGTATGCCGCGAATCTTGATATGTTGTCGTCTGTAGCGGTCTTCTATGGCAGTCATTTGTGTGCTTAGTGCCTGTTGGGAGGTTTGGACTTGCCTTATGGTGTCTTGCATCGCGGACATGTCCTTGCGTGTGTCCAGAATGTCATCCTCTGAGGCTCGGACCCTGTTAGTTACTGCCTGAACCTCCTCCTTTATCACTGCATTGTCCGATTCCAGCCACTTTCTGATTTCTAGCATGAAGGTTTGAATGTCCTGCTTGGTATCCAGCTCAGGCCCTCCTTGGGTTGTCAAGGGTGCTGCAGTCACTGCACCCTATTTAACTCTGCCCCAGTGGTGAGGGGATACCTCCTTGTTCTTTGCGGTCACCATTTTGTGTTGCGGTTGTTGCTGCAGGAGAGTTCCGATGTCTCTCGTGTCGGACACCGCAACTGCTGCAGGTCTCTGGGATCGACGTCCCATAGTTGTTCCCACTGCCTGTGGAGTCAGTGCGGGTGGTTTGGTCTGCCAGAATGGGTCTCCCTCCGGAGATCCGCCGAGGAGGTACTCAAGTCTGGGGATGGAGAGCGCGTGGTACACCTCAGACCTGCGTTTCAGTACCTTCGTCCGTGGGGAGTGAAAGAAGGGCATCGGGCTCTGTAGCAGGGTATCTAGGCGTGTTGTCACTACGTGCTGTCGTGTAGTTGCTTATTTTCTCGTTTTTATACCGATTTTTGTGCTGTTCTTGCTGGAGCTCAGCGGGATGGCATCCACTCTCCTCTTTATGTCTCTTGCCCTCACTTTTCTGTTTTTTAAAATGGCGACTTTTCTGAACTCCTCCTTTGAGCTCTGTGTATATGTGGCACTATATGGACAACTCATTTTGTAAGGCACGGACTAATTGACAAAATCTACAGACGCACAAGTTGAAGCCTGCCGGAAGAACGAACAACGGACGTAACCGGAAGTAAACGTCATACGTGACTGGCCACGATCCGGAATAGATGTGTGGCCATCTTAGGAAGGGTGTCTGCATGTCCATTCAGGATATAGCCTCATCCTCCATACTTATTGAGGCAGAAATACTCCATATATGGAGAAGGGGATAGGTTTGTTTTAATTACCACATGTGTATGGTTTTTTTATTGTTAATGGTATACAAGAGCATTTCCTCATATGTTATGTCATATGCACCTGAGGAAGACCTATTCTATAAGGTCGAAAAGCATTGTGCTTTTATTTTGTGTGAATAAAAGTTTTTATCCTGTATTGAACGGGTTCCTGATTTACCGTACAGAGGAATTCCATCACCTTCTGGGGGACCTTTTACATCTGCATCTGATTGATGAACTCGCTATTACAGTTTAGAGCCGACTTATATGGGCTCTAAATATTGTGAGTGTTCCAAGTTCTTATTTATTCTGTTTATACATATTGCCCTATGTTTATCTTTTATGTTTACAGCACCTAGGTATTTTATACCAATATCAAGATAACCATCTACCATTGTGTGCGCGATCACCTTATCTACATTTCCATTGTTTGTATGTAAGTTTTTTTAGTGACTAAACACTTGGATGATTTTGAGCTACACTGGGTTTTTTTTCCTTATCTTTTATTGGATTTTAGAGCCACCTTTTCCTTTTCTTGAATTTTAAGAGTGTTTATAAAAATGTGGGTTATAAAGTAATGATTAGTAGTTCACATTTAAAACACATAGCAACATAGCATTGAGTTTAACGATCCATTGCAGGTCTACTTGACGTTTGTTTGTGTTTGTGTCAGTCTGAACCTTTGTGACTATATGAGTGTAGTTATTGCCTGGATCAATATTTGATTCATTGTATATTTATGTAAATAGGAAATTTGAGGGTTTGTGCAGTTTTGTATTTTTTATAATTTCATTTAAATAAATGAATGAGATTACTTTTGTCAATATCTGCGCTCATAAACATAAAAATAATCAATCCCTTGGTATGCATGAATTCATTTGTAAAATAAATTGATTTCTCCACTAGGTGAATACAAGCAATGGGGCAGTAGTGGAGCTTAACAGGATAAATTTCATCTTGCATTGCTTTGCAGCAATATTCAGATTGGCATCGGACATTATGAATTTACTGGCACTATATTTATAAACTTTCTAAAGGCCCTTTACAGTGTTGAGCGTAACATCTTGTTAAGTGAGCCAAAAACCTCAGGTATAGATTATCGCATACTGAATGGTTGTTTTCCTACTTTACAGAAAGAATCCAACATGTTACTAATGCCAACAATGTGTCCAACTCGCTCTGTGCTACACATTGAGTTCCCCACTCTTCCATTTCTAAGGTACTTGCTACTCTCACAATTTATGAATGATCGACATATGGCTTGCAATACCTCAACTGTTCACATGTATGAAACCATCCTCAACAAGAAATTAAAACTGTAGGATATATTTCAGCAGGATATTTGAGAGATGGATCCCCCAAAATAAACCATTTTGAAATACTGAGAGAAAACAGTCTAAATGGTGTTAAAACACAAGTCAACTCTAGTTGTACCTACCACCTTTCTTCTTTCCCGATTTATGACCACTTGTACAATAAGCTCCATCAATGACATGACTCCATTCTGCTTTCCAAAGCAGCTGTAACCCCTGGTCTCACCTCCAGCTCTTTACTCTCCATTGTCAATAAGAAGGCAGAGATCTAATAGCTTAAAAGTAATAATTTCTAATAAGTGCTCATATTTAAATAGGTAACCTTGTGACAGCATTTTAGAATTCAATAATCCCAGGATAGAACAAACATTTCACACCATTCTTACTTTACAATGAATGTAGAAATAAAGATAATTAAACATTGTGGCCTTTAAAAAACTTTTATTATTCATTTGATAGATCTCAAATTCCATTTTTCCAGTTGAAATTTTCTTATAGTTTAACAAGAGTTAAGACCCCCCCCCCCCAAAAGAACCAACACACCACTAACTAATTTTACCTCTAACTATATTTAATCACGTGAAATCTACTCTTGCAGTTGTTCCATGTGAAGTCCAAGGTGTAACAGATCTGGTTTGGCTAGCGTGAAGAACTTTAAAGTTAAACAGTCATGTTTGAGTGCCAGCTGCTCCTTAGAGACTTTGGATTTATAATTCAATATTCATACACGATAAAGAGAACTCTGCTTGAAGCACTGTGACCTCTAAAATGATTATATAAAGTGTATCCTCTGAGAAGCCTTGGTGCGCACAATGTCCTAACTAAAAACAACACGCTAAACAGAAAACACATTACAGTGATGAAAATCTGCCAAACAAGAAGGAATGCGAATTTATTACATCCTTGGTAAAATAGGATTAAATCATTAGACTAAGCACAGCAACGCATTTGTGAGTGTATCCATATATAATTAGGACAATAACTGCTGGATAAAGAACCACTCACTCCTAATGGTGGACTCCCAGGACATTGGTGTTCATAGTGGGGAAACAACCAAACAGGAACATAGCTCCAGATTTGGCATATAAAAAACAAAACAAAAAAAAACTGCTTTATGGTATGGTATCCAATGTAAAAATAGTTTATCTACCTTTTATTTCTTCTGTACTATACAGTTTGCTGCTGATTTTTATGCTTTAATTTATGATGCTATAAAGCAGTCACATAGACTAACTAGAGGGAAACCCATATAATCTATTCTATCACATCTACTCCATCCCAGTCAGCGTCTACTACAGCTATGGTTTTGGGCTGAAATGGTTCTTTATCTGCACTTTTATCCATTACGAACATAGCAGAGCAGTGCTAAAGACCTAGTCCCTAACACTGCCTTTCATCCTTAATGGGCATCATCGTCATCATCAAGCGACCAATTTCTGTCGAACTGCATGGTGAGGCTGGAATGGTGTACATGTTCAATTTACAATACCAGTTTTCGAAAAAGTAATTAAACTATGCATCTGTGGATACAATAAGGTCAACAGGTCATATCACAAGCCAAATATACGTATAAAGTGGACCAGTGGCGGCTCTAGACTTTGTGAGGCCTTAGGCGAAACTCAAACATGAGGCCCCCACTAACACCTAAAGTTAAAAATAGGGGTTGCATTGTGTGTATAAGGTGCTGTAGTTGTAGCTAGTCTCTGTATTCATCGTTCAGAGGCTTGCAGTGTCGCGGCTCCCTGTGCCGCTGCATTGTGATCTCTCTGACTGTAGTTATGGCATAATATGCAAACTAACTTAATTTGCAATAAACAAATTTAATTAGCAATTATGCCAATCGTTTATACATGACTGAGGGGTATGTATATATGACTGTATCACATTGTCTACCTATGTGTGACAGGGTTTGGGGTGTGTTGCACAGTTGGAGTACAGGATTGTAAGGGTTTATGTAATAGGGTGAGTGTGGCAGGGTGAAGGGGGTGAGTGGGACAGACTGATAGAGGATGAGTGACAGGGTCGGGGGGTGAGTGTGACAGTGCAAGAGAAGGTGAGTCTGACAGGGTTGATGGGGGGGTTAATGCATTAGGGTAGGTGTGGCAAAGCAAGGAGTTTGGTATGGGTGCAGTGGTTGAGAGTGACAGGATTAGGAGGGGTTATGTAAGTTTGGCCAGGTTTAGGGGGCGACTGTGTGTGGGGTCTGAAAGTGTTTGGGAATGGTGATAGTGTATGTGAAGGGGGTGTCGGTGTGTGTGGTAATGATAGGGTATGGGTGGGGAATGACAAGGTGTGCGGTGGAAGGATGTGACAGCGTGTGTTTGTGGGAAGGCTGTGATTGGATGGGTGTGGGGTGACAGTAGGGGAGCTGTGAGAGGGTGGGGGAGGGGCGGTAGGGGGCTTTGACAGGGTAGGAGGTGGTGGGGGACTGTGACAGGGTAGGAGGTGGTGGGAGACTGACAGGACAAGGGGTAGTGGGGGGGCTGGAGCAGGGGGGCTGTGACAGGGTAGTGGGGTGGTAGGAGGACAGTAGGAGGCAGAGGGTGGTGCTGTGGCTGGGGCAGAGGGTGGTAGGGTGGCTGGGGCAGTGCGTTGCCGTGGTAACCCACGGCAACGCTCTGATTGGGTGAGATCGAGAGACCCTCTCAGTCTGCAGCTCTGCGCTCGGCAGAGCTGCAGACAGGCTGGCTCTCTCCCGGGCAGGCATAGGAGGGGCCTTGCACCTGGCGGCATTAAGGGCAAGCCGCCGGGCCCCCTCCTGTGTCGGGTCCTCTGTCTGTGACCGAGGACCCGATCTATCACACTGCCCTAAGGCGATTTAGGCGGCCGCGAGGCCCCCATCAGCGCGAGGCCTTAGGCGGCCGCCTAAATCGCCTAATTAGAGAGCTGCCTCTGAAGTGGACCGCAAATCTAAAGTGACGCCTAATTGGCATGTTTCTAGACAGAATGTCTAGGTGGCTGGGGCAGAGGGTGACTGGGGCAGTGGTGGTAGGGTGGCTGGGGCAGTGGTGGTGGGGCGGCTGGGGCAGTGGTGGTGGTGGCTGGGGCGGTGGTGGTGGCGGCAGAGGCTGGCTGGGGCTGCAGGTGGTAGGTGGTGGCTGGGGCAGAGGGTGGCTGGGGCAGGGTGGTGGGGTGGCTGGGGCGGTGGTGGTAGCTGGGGCAGAGGGTGGCTGGGGCAGAGGGTGGTAGGAGGGCAGGGCATAAATACCTGGGGATTAATTTGTTCCCTGGAGATCCAGTGGGTGGCAAGGCTGTAGCCCTGGTGGTCCGGTGGGCTCCCTTTATGGTCTGCAGCTCCGCCGGGTGCAGAGCTGCAGACCACATGGTAAGTTTAGTCTCGCGATCTCAGCCAGTCAGAGCGTTGCCGTGGTAACCCGCGGCAACGCTCTGATTGGGTGAGATCGAGAGACCCTCTCAGTCTGCAGCTCTGTGCTCGGCGGAGCTGCAGACAGGCTGGCTCTCTCCTGGGCAGGCATAGGAGGGGCCTCGCACCTGGCGGCATTAAGGGCAAGCCGCCGGGCCCCCTCCTGTGTCGGGTCCTCTGTCTGTGACCGAGGACCCGATCTATCACACTGCCCTAAGGCGATTTAGGCGGCCGCGAGGCCCCCATCAGCGCGAGGCCTTAGGCGGCCGCCTAAATCGCCTAATTAGAGCCGCCTCTGAAGTGGACCACAAATCTAAAGTGACGCCTAATTGGCATGTTTCTAGACAGAATGTCTAGGCTGAAGGAATAATGTGTGGGGAGTCAGGCCACTATTTAGGGCTCATTTTCCACCTTGTTGATACATAGCTGTCGCTATTTATGACACCTGGTAGCTAGTAACTGCTACTAAATACTAACTGGTTTGCAACCTTGTCGCTATTTTTCTAAATTTTGATTACAAAAAATTACTACAAATAACATCAGCTAGCAAAGACACTGTCCAGTCGCAAATTAGCCACAAATTGCCAGTAAAAATGGCTCAACCTGGGCATGCAAACTAAACCGTGTAATTGGCCTTAGCAAGTGACAGTAACCGTTTATACAATGCATCAAACTGTGATTTGTGCTGTGCCAGAGACCTGTCAATATAACTTTTGAGGTTCTTTTGTGCTATTTGAATTGTTCATTAAAATGATACATGCACTTTACTTATATAAATAATCTATGTTTATATCTGGTCTTTTCTTTAATTTTATTGCGGTTTGACATGCTTTGATGTGTGCTATATTGCCATCATGCATTGTTCCTACAAAATGTGCAGGGATTTGGTGGTCAGTTTTCTTTGTATCACACAAAATACTTTTTTGAAGCTTAGTGGCAGAATTAGAAACCAATAATTAGAGCAGTTAACTGATGGTTAGCGATTGGCTTTAGGTGGCATGAGATGGTAACTTCCTGTTGCTGCTGGTGAAGTTCTGCAGTCAGTGAACAGCAGCTACTCACTAATAGAAGCGAGAGGCTCTATAGAGAGTCACAGCAGGCCAGGATAAATGAGCATCATGATTAGAAATGAACCTTTAGTTGGCAATTGTCCTTTTCATGTCTTCAATGAAAAGTAAACTGAGCCAACACAAAATGAGGGTATATCTTAAAGTGTTTCAAGTGTTGCATGGTATCTAACATTGATTAAAAATTCACAAATTTAAATGTAATGTATTCGATTACAAATGTGAAGCATTTATTTCTTGTATTAATCATACATCTAATGACAATAGAATAGTTGGCATTAATCGTACAACTATTCAACAAAGTGTAGGGAACTAAAAACAGATTTACAAAATTTAGGCTAAAATAGCTTGTAGCAGATTTGAACAAGGTTTTCATAAAAAAAACTCTTTTTGCCTATATTTTGCAATTCAGTTTTCAATTTACTATTTGATGTGAATAAAACGCATACAGAGTTTTCACTAAACTGAGAATTCAGGGTGAATTTCAAACTTAAAGTCAAAACAGACTAAGTGGAAAAATTCTCTAAAATCAGCCATGCTGTCAGCTCAGAGTACAAAACAGCAAATTACACAACGTCTGTAAAAATATTCAGCCTATATAGTAAATATACATAATTTTATTACATGTAGTACCGATCTACCTGCACCGCTGCTGTTTATTAAAATGTCACATATCTGTTTACTATTATAAGGTCAGTTTTTGTTAATTACAAGTTATTTCTAAGTATATCACTGAAAGACAAATATTTAAAAAAAATGATAGGAACATTTTAGTGTTAGGAATACAAAACTGTATCTATACAAGATATTTTGGCACATTTCCTTCTAGAAGAAGAGTATTGTTTGAAGTAAACAGTCCCTAAATTAAAGATAAAAAAAGTAAAATTGGAAGTTGGTCCCCATTAATGCATATCAATAGCTTTGAACAATAGGTTCTTATTAAGCCTTCATATTGATCAAGTACCAAGCAAATGCTATGGTAAAAGTGCTGCACTAATGAGCAACAAATCTTGTTTGAACTATTTGGTTTCCTCTATACACTGTGCTAGCAGAAGTGTTAACAAATCTATACACTGGGGAAGAACAAGTCTAAAGGTTCACTTACAGCAATTAATATAGAAAATCTATCATAAAGGTGAGCAATATGTTGCATTCCTTCACTAGTTAATAAACATCTCCTTCTTCTCCAGGCTGTAAACAGCAGCACTGCAAATGGTTATAGCTCCCCCCACTCCTAAATTGGAAAGAAGCGCCTCCTAATCAAACAATAAAAGAGACTCCATATCCTACAGCTTTAGTCTCCGGCAGTGGAACGTATTTGGAACACACGCCAAATTGTGTGCGTGTGATCAAATGCTCTTCTGGTCTTCCCTATTTGGTCCTGGATACTTTAGCGTATTGCAGCCTTCATATCAACAATGGAATGCAGACTGATACTGGCACGTGCATTCCGCGTCTTGCATATTTCCGGTCGGAAGGTCTGGCCTATTGCAGCCTCCCTCCGGCGGTGGAAATCACGCTGGAGCAAGGTCTAGAGCTCACATTCTTCCGGCTTCTCAAACTCTCATATGGATATTTAAAGAGATCTTTTCCAGCTTCTAAGGGTACCTGAATTACAGTACAGGCAGAGAGAGCACTTTTACTGCATTATGGTCTAATGTCCTGTGTTTTTTTTGGATGTAGTCTGATCTGCTGTTTGTTAGAAGCATTCTTTCAGCGGCATTATAATGCATAATAAATCTTTTATTGTTTTTTTCATCATAATTTATAGTATGGTGTCTTTTCTCTCCCGTCTTTATGTCTTTAGCTTGGGTATTACCCGTGTAAAGTGCTGCCACGGATATATCTGGCAAAACAGAAAATGTATTCCATTCTTACTGATATTTTTTTTCCTGGTTATAGGCCATGGCAGCACTCCACACCCGCCCTTACTTTGTTGGTTTGTGGATTTGGACCAAGAATGAGGATGTAGGGGATGAAGTCTCTTATTGTTTGAAAATAAAATATATCGATCGGTATAGAATAAATTTTCCATTTTCACTGGCGTAGTGTAAACTGTTGGTAATCCTGTGCTTACTAGGGAATAATCACAACAACTACAATGTATAGCCAAACTGCACTGTGAAGGACACCAAGAGAACAGCCTGGAGGAGGGTTATTCAGCTCTTCACTTGTCAATCAATTATCGGCATAAATAATATGCCATCGGCTTAAAATGAATCGACAGGTGAGGGTCAATTTTTCCTTCAAAAAAAATAAAATAAAATCTATACATTAAATGTAAGGCTAATTGAAGGGATGAGAGGTAACACTTTATTTTAATGTTCTTGTACAAAGCTTCTTGCAGAAATTATTAAATCGTACACAATTTAAAATGCCTGCTTCTTTATATTTCATAACAACTACTAAATACACTGTATAGTTGATTCATCACAGGACATATTTTAAATATGAGAACTCTCAAATTATTCTCTTCTTTTAAACCTTATAAATAAATTAATAAGAAAATCTAGGAATCAAGATAAATGATCTGAAATGCAACTAAGTGCCAGTTGGTAAGTGAGCACCCAATCTCAGACACTTGCCAACACTTTTCCAGAGCAATATGACCCTGCAAAGTCCAAAACTTGAGTTCTAGACATCGTTTACCCTTCTAAATATATGTATATACATTGTCACAGCTGTGTGGAACTTTTCCTCCCCAATATACAACATTTCTATTTATATAATTGATTGTGTATCTGTAGATGAGCAGATATACCGCTCTATAATGCTTAAGTAGAAAAAAAATAAAAATTGGCAGTTAGGCTCCAACAAAATGAAACCTGTGTTAAACAGTACAGCTTGTAAATGCTGGAATAGGCTGTATGGCCCTGAGAATAGTAAGCAGGAGGAGTCAATGGGCCAGGTATGATCAACGATATGGTTATTACTAAAATTAATGGACAACAAGTGCACAGTGAACAGCAGCAAAGTGCTTCCATTATATTTGAAGATTTAAAAAAAAAAAAATATTGGCAAAGGATCTTTCGGAAAATGTGCAATGTGATCTCAAGTAATTTGGTGAAATTCAAAGAGCAAGTTACCGTTACAAAATGTAGGTAAATGGAACTCTAACTCAATTACTGGAGAGAATGGCCACTTCTGAGGGGTGGATATAACAAAAGGCTAATTTAAAAAAAAATCATTTATTTCAACATCACAACAGCCTTATGAAAAGGCATAAACATGCCATTCAATACACAGTGACCGAATTTACCACAGCTCTAACCCACTCTTGTTTAATTGTGCCAGTGCACATAAAAGAGTTTAATGAATATAGAATAATTGGGGATGGGATTTCTCTGAAATTTGAATCATTGAAAAGAGAAGCCATTTTACATTTACCTATGACATCTAATTAGATTATTATTACATTTCCAGATTAATTGCCTTTTTCCCATTAGCCAACCCATATGACACAGGCATATTCAGATGCAATAGACAACTGTATCACTCTTGTCTGCCAGGGATAGTAATTATCATTAGAACGTTTATACCTCCAATGATTCAAATTATTGGAAACAAGCAGCTAAGAGAGAAAAGGTACACAGAAGCTAAAGAGAGCCTTGTCAATCTAGAGAAGGTATTTCTAGTCCACCCCACCGATTTGCAGAACTACATGATTTTCTATCCATCTACTGCATCGAAAGACAGGATGCTTTTCAATATGACCAGATTACGATATCCAATAAATACAGAAGCAGGGGAAAAAAAGAAAAAAAGAAGAAAAGAAATAAACCCAATTATTTTCTGTTTGAGGTTTTTTTTTTTTTTTTATCAAAAGAGTCATAAGTCAAACATATTCAATTAAGAACACGATTAATTTAAATAATCCGTTATCATTAAATAATAAAAAACAAAAACACATTTTGGCCACTGAGCTGATTTATGCTATTCTAGGTTTGTGATTCTTTTTTTTTTCTGTTAAAAAAGCCCTTTTGTTTGATGAGACGTAATGTCAAATGTCTCAATGTTGAAAAACGGATTTAAGTGCAAACGGTACATTGCTATTAAATTGTAAACAGTACAACAATATTTATGGATTCAGTCCTTTGCTTAAAAGAAAGGCTTTTTGGTTTGGCTCACGGCCCAAGAATTTCTGAAGCAATGCCATGCCATCCTTTGACCCACCAGGCTTCAGGATAAGGTTTCTGTATTTCATTCCAACCTAGGAAGAAATAATCATTGTTCAGTTACAAGGCTTAGGTTTGTAGACAAAACTTCAATCCTGCTGAGCAGGGGAAAAAAAACGACCAGATAAATTGATCAGCTTGGGT